ATGTACCACATTTTCCTTATGCATTCTACACTCAAGGGTCACTTAGGTTGTTTCCAGGTTCTAGCTATGACAAACAATGCTGCTATGAACATAGTTGAGCACATGTCCTTCTGGTACAATTGAGAATCCTTTAGGTATATACCCAAAAGTGGTATTGCTGAGTCTTGAGGAAGGTTGTTTCCTAATTTTCTGAGAAATCACCATATTGATATCCAAACCAGTTTGCAAACCAGTTTTCACTCCCACCAGTAATGGAGGGGTGTTCTGCTTACCTCACATCTTCTTCAGCATAAGTTGTCATCAGTGTTTTTGATCTTGGCCATTCTTGCAGGTGTAAAATGGATTCTCAGAGTTGTTTTGATTTGCATTTCTCTGATAGCTAAGGATGTTGAGCATTTCCTTAAGTGTCTTTCAGCCATTTTATGTTCCTCTGTTGAAAGTTCTCTGTTTAGGTCTGTACCTCATTTTATGTTATTGGATTCTTTCTTCTTTTGATGACCAGTTTCTTGAGTTCTTTGTATATTTTGGAGATCAGTCCTCTGTCTGATGTGGAGTTGGAGAAGATCGTTTCCCATTCAGTAGATTGCCATTTTGTATTGTTAACTGTGTCCTTTGCTTTACAGAATCTTCTCAGTTTAAGGAGTTCCCATTTATTAAGTTTTTCTCTAAGTGTCTGTGCTACTGGGGTTATATTAAGAAGTGTTCTCCTATGCCAATGCATTCAAGTGTAGTTCCTACTTTCCCTTCTATGAGGTTCAGTGTGATTGGCTTTTTATTGAGGACTTTGGTCCATTTAGACTCGAGTTTTGTACACGGTGATAGATATGGATCTATTTTCATTCTTGTACATGTTAACATCCAGCATCAGTTGTTAAATATGCTTTCTTTTTTCCACTTTATATTTTTTCCTTCTTTGTAAAAAATCAGGTGTTCATAGGTGTGTGGATTAATATCTGGGTCTTTGATTTGAATCCATTGGTTCTCCTGTCTGTTTTTATGCCAATACTAGGCTGTTTTCAGTACTGTAGCTCTGTAGTAGAGTTTAAAGTCAGGAATTGTGATGTCTTTATTGTGCAGGATTGTTTTGGCTATCCTGGATTTTTGCTTTTCCATATAAAGTTGTGTACTATTCTTTCAATGTCTTTGAAGAACTTTTTTAGAATTTGATAGGCATTGCTTTTGGTAAGACTGCCATTTTACTGTATTAATTCTCCCTACCCAAGATCATGGGAGAGCTTTCCACTTTCTGATGTCTTCTTCAATTTCTTTCTTCAAAGGCTTAAAGTTCTTGTCATACAGGTCTTCCACTTGTTTTCTTAGAGTTACGTTGTGATATTTTATGCTATTGTGAAGGGTGATATTTCTCTCTTAGCCCATTTATCATCTGTGTAAAGGGGGGCTACTGATTTTTTTAATTTGTCTTGTACCTTTCTACATTACTGAAAGTGTATATGAGTTGTATAAGTTCCTTGGTAGAATTTTTTGGAAGTTTACATAGCTTGTGTAAACTATCGTATCATCAGCAAATAGTGAGAATTTGGCTTCTTTTCTGATTTGCATACCCTTGACCTTTTGTTGTCTTTTCCTCTAGCTAGAACCTCAAGGCCTATATTGAATAGATATGGAGGGAGTGGACTACCTAGTCTTGTTCTTGATTTCAGTGGGATCTCTTTGAGTTTCTCTCCATTTAGTTTGATGTTATAGTTCGCTTGCTGTATATTGCCTCTATTATGTTTAGGTATGTTCCTTGTGAACAGGTCAATCAGACAAAAAATGAACAGAGAAATAAGAGAACTAACAGATGTTATGACTCAAATGGATTTAATGGACATATATAGAACATTCCATCCAAACATAAAAGAATATGTGTTCTTCTCAGCACCTCATGGAACCTTCTCAAAAACTGACCACATATTCGCTAACAAAACAAACCTCAACAAATAAAAAAAAATGGAATAACAAATGTACCTTGTCAGATCACCATGGTTTAAAACTAGAAGTCAACACCTATACTAATTCCAGAAAGCCCACAAACACATGGAAATTAAACAATGCTCACCTGAATCATCAATGGGTCAAGGAAGAAATAAAGAGAGAAATTAAAGACTCCCTAAAATTCAATGAAAATGACCACACAACATACCCAAATTTATGGGACACAATGAAAGCAGTGTTAAGAGGAATGTTCATAGCAGTAAATGCCTACATAAAGAAGCTGGAAAGATTCCACACTAGTGAGTTAACAGAACATTTGAAAACTTTAAAACCAAAAGAATCAAACTCACCTAAGAGAACTAGACAGCAGGAAATAATCAAATTGAGAGTAGGAGTTTAAAACTCTGCCAAAAACGTTTTTGACAAAATACAACATCTGTTCGTGATAAAGGTCATGGAGAAAGCAGGTACATAAGGAGCATACCTAAACATAATTAAGGCAATATACAGCAAGCCAACAGCCAGCATCAAACTAAATGGAGAGAAACTCCCAGAAATTCCACTGAAATCAGGAACAAGACAAGGTTGTCCACTCTCTCCATATCTATTCAATATAGTTCTTAAGGTCCTAGCTAGAACAATAAGACACCAAAAGGAGATCGGGGGGATACAAATCAGAAAAGAAATCAAACTCTCACTGTTTGTTGATGATATGATAGTTTATATAGTTGATCCCAAAAATTCTACCACGGAACTTCTACAACTCATAAACACTTTCATTAATGTAGCAGGATACAAGATTGATGTGGGAGTGTCATATATCAATCTGTTGATTTCATTGGTTAAGTTATAATAAACCAGCTGCTTGGCCTCATGGCTTGGAACATAGATGGGAGGAGTAAACAGAATAGAATTCTGGGTGGAAGAGGAAGTGAGGTCAGACTCTGCTCTGCTCCCGGAGAGACTCTGCTCTCCGGAACACAGACGCCATGCTCAGCTCTCCCGGGTAGACGCGATAGCTCTGCTCTCTGAGGCACACGCGATGAAGATGGATGTAGGCTAGAATCTTCCCGGTAAGCGCACCTTGGGGTGCTTACACACATCATTAGAAATGGGCTAGTCCAGGTGCGAGAATTAGCCTGTAAGGGCTAGAGTTCATGGGCCAAGCAGTTCTTTAAATGAATACAGTTTGTGTGTTGTTATTTCGGGCATAAGCTAGCCAAGCGGCCGGGGTGTTGGGGACGCAGCCCCGCCGCCGCTCCTATTTCAACACAAGATTAACTCAAAAAAAATCAGTAGCCCTCCTGTACACAAATGATAAAAGGGCTGGGGAAGAAATCAGAGAAACATCACCCTTCACAATAGCCACAAATAGCATAAAATATTTCAGAGTAACTCTGACCAAGCAAGTGGAAGACTTGTATGACAAGAACTTTTAAATCTTTGAAGAAAGAAATTGAAGAAGACACCATAAAGTGGAAAGATCTCCTATCTCTTGGTAGGCAGAATTAACACAGTAAAAAAGGCAATCTACAGATTCAATGCAGTGCCCATCAAAATTCATCACAGACCTGAAAAGAACAACACTTATCTTCATATGGAAAAACAAAAAAAAAAAAAAAAAAAAAAAAAAAGGATAGCCAAAACAATCTTGTACAATAAAAGAACTTCTGAAAGCATCGCAATCCCTGACTTCAAACTCTAATACAGAGCTATAGTACTGAAAACAGCCTGGTATTGGCATAAGAACAGACCTGAGGACCAATGGAACTGAATAGAAGACCCAGATATTAATACACACCTACAAACACCTGATTTTTAACAAGCAAAAAAATATCAAATGGAAAATGAAAGCATATTTAACAAATGATGCTGGCATAACTGGATATCAACATGTAGAAGAATGAAAATAGACCCATATCTATCACCTTGTGCAAAATTCAAGTCCAAATGGATCAAAGACCTTAACATAAAGCCAGCCACGCTGAACCTTATAGAAGAGAAACTGGGAAGTACACTTGAATGCGTTGGCACAGGAACCCACTTTTTAAATATGATCCCAGCAGCACAGACACTTAGAGAAATAATTAATAAATGGGACCTCCTGAAACTGAAAAGGATGTTGAACATTTCCTTAAGTGTCTTTCAGCCATTTTAGATTCTTCTGTTGAGAGTTCTCTGTTTAGATCTGTACTCCATTTTTTTTTTAAATTGGATTATGTGTTCTTTTGGTATCCTTTTTTTTTTTTTTTGGTTTGAGTTCTTTGTATGTTAGAGATCAGACCTCTGTCTGATGTGGGGTTAGTGAAGATCTTTTCCCATTTTATACACTGTCGTTTTATCTTGTTGACCATGTTCTTTGCTTTACAGAAGCTTTTCAGTTTCATGTTCATTTTTGGGGGATTAGTTTTTTGAGATAAAGTATCCATCTGTTTTTTTCTGGAACTCATTTTGTAGACCAAACAGACCTTGACCTCACAAAGATCCACCTGCTTCTGTCTCTCGAGTGCTGGAAGTAAAGGTGCCCCCACCTTCACCTGTCTATTAAATGAAAAACAGTGGACTTCCAAAAGAAGGCAAGATCTTTGGTGAGAAAGGAAGCAAAGGGAGTCATTTTTAATAACCCATGCTGGTGAGAATTAACTGAGATCCAATGAGAGCTACATTCATCCTTTGTAAGTGTAGCACCCCAAATGACTGAGCTACCTTCCCTCAGTCCTATCTCTTAAAAGTTTCAATACCACCACACAGAGGACCTGACTTTCAATATATGAATCTTGAGTAGAAAACCCAGCCAAGTCATAGCATCTTTGAGGATGAATCTGAAGCTTAGAGTGAGTGGAGATGAATATGAGGCTTAAAATGGGAAATGTGTCATGCAATCAGTTGTAAGTAGAGGAAGGAAGAGTAGGATCAACAAGGTGGGTGTTGTGTCTGCTTTACTGGTAAGGGACTTAGTCATATTTAGTCAAGAGATTTGGATTTGCATCTGATTGTCCAGGACATGCTAGAGGCAGAGACTCAGAGGTGGTATGCTGATGCTGCTTTCTTCCCTTCTTTTCCAGACTCCAGATGCTAGAGGCCATCTGTAAGCACTGGGAGGGGCCCATCAGCCTGGCCCTCTACCTGTCTGATGCTGAAGCCCAGCAGTTCCTCCGCTATGCCCAGGGATCCGAGGTGCTCATGAGCCGCCACAATGTGGGCTACCACATCGTGTATAAGGAGGGTCAGTTCTATCCTGTCAACCTCTTGCGCAATGTGGCTATGAAGCACATCAGCACACCCTACGTGTTCTTATCTGACATTGACTTCCTGCCCATGTATGGGCTCTATGAGTACCTCAGGTAAGGACCCCAGGGGACCTGACTGCTCTGTTCACTCTTCAGGCTGGCAGTCACATAGGATAATGAAGAACTAGACCAAAAGGTCCTCAGTCAGAACCATTGTCCAGTCTGCCACTCACCTTTTATAGGTAGGGCAACTGAAACCCAAAAACGGAAAGGGGTCTGCCCAGAGATTGTTCCTGCCTTCAGTAGGACCCTGTTAAAGGGTCCCTACAGGTTTGGAAGATGCATACAAAGTTCTATTATTCCATGCATAGACTGGATCTGAGTTTCCGTAGTGACATGTTAATTTTTGTATAGAAAGATCCTTTTTGTTCAAAATGCCTGCCCCTCTTCCAGTTTTCCAGCAGACAGACTTCCTGTAACCATTCTCAAAAGACCACTGCCTGCTCTTTAAAGCAAACCTAAGTAATTATGATGCCTAGCATATGTTGAAGCACTTGTACCAGAAAGTGATTGACAGATAAGATCTCATTCTGTTTCCTCCTCTTGTGGTCCATGCCACAGATCATATTTTTGTCTTCATTTTACAAATGGGAAGCTGCTGAGCAAGACTGGAAGACGCTGTTTTATGTTGCATAACTAGAGGAGAAGGAGCTGGGGAGGCACAGCACAGGACACCTAATCTCAGAACCATATAAATTTCTGTTGTAGGAGCTGCGGGCCTCTTCCCACAGCCCGGCTCCTGGCCGTTTGGCTAGCTTATACCCCGAAATAACAACACACAAATTGTATTCTTTGAAACACTGCCTGGCCCCTTAGTTTCAGCCTCTTAGCCCATTTCTAATAATCTACGTAGCACCACGAGGTGCGCTTGCCAGGAAAGATTCAGCATGTCTGACCTGGTGGCTTGCTGCATCGCGTCTGGCTCTGAGAGGAGCTGCATGATTTCTGAGCTCACTTCCTCTTCCTCCCAGCATTCTGTTCTGTTTACTCTGCCTATCTAAATTCTGCCCTATCAGATGGACACCCCTCTTTCTCCCATCTTCCCTCCATTTTTCCTTCCCTCTCCAGCAAGAGAAGGCATCCTTGTTAAGGTTGAATATGGATTCAACCTCTAGCACATTAGACTTTCATTGCAAGGTGTTGTTTGAGACACCAGTCCCTTCCTGGTAATCATGGAAGAGCCCCCTAAGCTGTCAGGGAATTAAAGGGTGAAAAGAGAGAGGTTAGAGGGCTGTGCCCTGCCTATCCATAACCTGGGATTTTCCTGAGAAGTCTTTACCACAATGAATTGAGTGTTAACAGGCCCTTCTCTCATCTCAGTGGCCCATTTCCCAACTTTACCTCATGGGCAGCATGTTTTGCAACACAGCACATAGGAATGGGTGTTTGTTTCTTCCCTATGTGTCTGTCATTGGACAAAGACTTAAAATTGCTGATGGCAATTCAGTGCTAGGCAACATGTGTTACCACTAACTTTTTTATTTAGTTCAAAGGTCACCTTATGAATCTCATCATAAGTTTTGAGATATTACAGATTGCCCTTCAAACCCTATCACTTTCTTACAATTTGAATTCACAGACTTATCTGAGCAAGAGCCATCTCCCCAGGTATGGAATTACCTCTGTTGGAACAGGATTGGAGTTAGTCACTCTATATGTTTTCTCAGAGGACCTGAGTTTTCATGTGTTCTAATGTTTTAATATTATAAAATAATAGGCAGCTAGAGAGATGGGTCAGCAGTTAAGAGCACTGTTGCTCCTACAGAAGACACAGGTTCAGTTCCCAGTACCTTGCCAACTGAGGTAAACATTTTTACAGGTGGCTAAACTTGGGTCCCAGGAAAGTGAAGAAGTAGTAGTTCAAAGCCATTCATTACTCCAGAGAACTGGCCCTCTCTTAAACCCAAGCACTCTTGTGACACACATGTGTATGTATAGTCAAAACACTGATATACATAAAAAAATCTTTAAAATGTGCAAATAATTAAAAATGAGTTTTTAATGCTATGGAACCAAACTATATCGCCGGGCAACATTAGTCCTCTCTCACCTGCTCACCAGTGTGTAACCTCTGACCTAGATTGTTTCTAGACACCAGAATCTTGAGAGCCTGTAAAAATTCAGTCAGAAGGCCAAAATAAATTCAGTCTCATTTTTTTATATAGGCAGATTATTGATTTGCTTTGCTTGGAGAAAAAAAATTTAGTGATTACCAGGTGTTTGCTTCTGATGTGTGAATTACTCATGGGCACTTTTGAGAGCAGTGTGCTATTACTGGTTTACGATGAGCTTAAGGGTGCTATTTGCTACAATATATGTAGTTTCCAAGAAGGCCAGTAGACCCTGGTAGAGACTCACTTTTTCACATGTAAATATAGCAAAAATGTTTTATTCAAACTCTGTTAACCTTCAAATAGTAATACCACAAATATGACACCCTGGAAGCCCTGCCAGCTGAAGTAAACATTTCTATAGGTGACTAAATATAGGGCCCAGGGAAGTGAATGATTAATGTCAGAAAGAAGAGAAAATGGCCTTCTACAGTTCATTCCTGCATCCAAAACTCCTGCTTATGTTACATTTTTTAAGGTCTTTCTTAGTTTCTAAAAAAAAGTTCAGCATTGCAGCTCACTAAACAGTTGCTGAGCAACCTGCTAATATTATAGCAAAACAAACAGCTCATTTGGAAAATAATGAAGTTGTGTCTATGCATAAGCAGAGCTGCAGAGTATCACCAAATTCTCTTCCAGCCCAATCTGTGTCTAGTAAAGTATCTGTTAGAGACCCAGCTTTCATGCTTGATCACAGAACTGTTAGTAAGGTCAGGGGGCATGAAGAAACCACACAGTCCTTCATTTGAACAGGTTCATGACTTGGGGCAGCTTGCTCCATTTCCCAAAACTTCTTCAAAAAAAAAAAAACTTTTTTGTTTCACCTAAAGAAGGGGCACTGACATCCCGCTGGATTATAGTAGATGTTCCACAGGAATGAATTCCCTACCACATGGCAGGCTCACAGTTGTCAGTTTGGGACTCATTTGCCAGTCCTCACTGCAGGACCTTCCCTTGCAAATGCCCCGCCACCTTCAGGACAGTTGGGTAACTGCATGGAACTAATTCATTTTTTTCTCTCATGGACGTGAGAAACATATAAATGGTATCTGGTCTACGATGGTTCACTTTTTGATTTTTCACTTATATAATGATGTATCTACAGAACCCATACTTAAAGATTTTGAATTTTGCTGTTTTTCCCAGGTAGCAATTAGCATAAAATCTTGTCTTGATTCCAGACTGAACAGTGACAGAAGCTCCAGTCAACTGTGTGGCTATGGGACAACTGATACCCCACACTGTGCTACAAGACTAAGCTATGGTGTTAACTAGATTAGGTGTAGTAAATGGATTTCCCATACACCATGCTTTCAATGTATGATGAGTATATCAGGATGTGACCCCATTTTAAATGAAGGGGATTCTATCCTCATATATGAGTTGCTTTTCTGTTGCATGATAAATTACCATGATCATTGGCAACTTAAGGAAGACAGGGTTTATTTGGGCTTATGATTCCAAAAGGATAGGCATCCATCCTGGCAAAGAGGTATGACAGCAAGTAGCAGGTATGATTGCTGGAGCAAGAGACTATGAGCTTACATCTTCTGCCACAAGCACAAAGCAGAGAAAGCATACTGAAAATAGGTGAGGCTTTTAATCTCAAAACCTATATTCAATTTACATACATCTTCCAGGAAGGCTACTTACATAAATCTTCCCAAACAACACCACTACTTGAGATCACTTCCAGAAATTGTAAGGCATATTTTGCATTCAAATCACCACACCTCCTTAGGGAACATTTACTTGGACTTGGCATCTAGGTACCTCCTAGATGTTCCTTGACTTTGATATGAGGATCATCCCATATCTTTCTCATGAGTCCTAGAAAGTGATAGAACAGTCGTCCTGTGACCATGCAGTGTATACCTAGTATAGAAGACTTGCGACAAAGCACAGGGGAAGCAACATTTTTCCATGCTTGGAGTTTTTAATCCGGTTGTATTGCTACTACCTTCGCTAATATTGTTTCCATTATAATTTTCATCATGAATGCAAAATAGAATTGCAGGAGCTGAAAGTATATCAGGAAGATGTGGGTGGTCATGGAACGCCTCAAAAAGAGCTGATAACTGAGGTTAGGTTTAAAGGTCAGTGGGACTCAAGTACAGCTGGTATCGCTGATGGACTGAAGGGCAGAAGAGTTGAAGGGTGGTTTCACAACCAGGACTATTCACACCATGGGATTGGACTGGTTTCCATCATTGGTCACCTGCAAAATTCTCATTGCTGATTATTACCTACAAGCCATAGCTATACCCATTGCCTTCCCTGTATTTATGTTCTAGGAGTAAAACATGGTACCCTGGCCAACACTGGACTTTGTAGCATGTGGGAATAAGTAGTCAGTGTAATTCCATTTATTCTAAGGGGATACATAACTGCATTCCTTTATATTTTCTCTAGTGTATAATGGAATAAGTGTAGCAATGTGAACAGGGTAAAAGAGGTGACAAGTGAGTCAGGCTAGGTGTCTATTGAGAGACATTAACTAGGTGGCATTTCCTTGAGTTCACATAGCCTTCTAATTCTACCTTATCTATAACATTAGCATTCATAGAGCACTTGTTATGTGCTAAGCACTGTTATAATCCTGCATGTGTTTTAGCAAACAAGCACCTCCATTTATGTTGCTTATGAGGGTACTCAGACTGAGTCCCCCACCTCAGGGCTCAGCATTGCTACCTGAAAATCTAGTTCCCTGTGAGCTTTTCCAGAAGTGCTCTCTGTTTAGCCTGCTGATTGATCAAGATGCCCATGTCCAAATTCATCACTATGACCACAATCATCAACCCAGAGATCTATGCATTGAGAGCTATCTTAACCTTTGCCTGAGGATACCGATTCAATCCTTACAAAACCCTACAGAGTACACACTAAGTGTATATCCTACCTACCAAACCCTGGGTTCTCAGGGCTTGCTCAAGAGTACCAGCTGGTGAATTCCTAGGTTGGATCTGAATTCAAGGCACCTGCAGCAGAACTACCCTTCTGGGAGACTCTGTTGTACATAACAAACAGGTTGAATGATTAAGCAGAATACTAGCTAAGCACCAGGTTCTACAGCCTTGTCTTCACCATCAAGACCCTCGGGAGGTGATATTCTAAGAGGGCAGTGATAAGTTGTCCCTTGTTTCTATGAAGTACCCCTGCCCATAAATCTCATGCTACAACTTGGGCGGTTTTCCTGGTTACAGAAACATCTATTTCTAAGGCAAGAGGGTGTGGAGAAAAACTGGACAGAGAAATGCTGGCTGGAAACTGAAAGGTTAATACTTTTTATTTCCATAAAAAATGCCAGAAATCTGCCCTTGCTCTAACAGTATGCCTCTCTTTTGAATGGTCCATGGTCTCCTTTTCTCCTACCTCAAGCCCATTGTAAGTTGAGACTAGGAAGGAGAGGGGACTCACTACTAGAAGACAAACCCTCCATTGGTCTCTAAAACTCTGAGAGCAGAGAAATAGTGTCACTGCCTGTGTTTTCAGATAGGGACTCAATGAGTGAAACAGGTATTAAAAAGTATCTAGAAGGTCAGAAGAGAGGCAGACAAGCTTTGAAGACAGCACCTCTTCTGCAGTGTTCTCCATTTTATCAGTAGTATACCCTGCACCATTTAGGTAGATACAAAAATGTTCCTCAACCCAAACTATTGCAGGAAGTTTATGAATACTTTGAAAATGTTTTGAACAAGAAGCAATGCATGTCACTCAGTGCTCTACATGAAAAAGAGATGCAGAGATATGGATAAATGGGTGGATATGGAAATATAGAAAAGCAGACTTTAAGGGTTGGCAAGACTTTGAAATTGGCAAGCTTGAATGTGGTACAGCAGGCTTCCATGTGGAATCACAGTTAGTGACTGTTACAGCCCTGAGGCATCAGTCTTTTTTTTTTTTTTAAGAAAACTTGGCTTTTGTATTCTTCAACTAATTGACTATGTTATTAAGGGTTAGCTGATTTCTTAAGATCAAGTGATGAAGATGTTAATACATATACCAAATACCTTCATCTAATTTTACTTGTTCAAGAGGACAGCTGTGATCCAGTGAAGTTTTTCAACAGGAAAATAAAACCCTTCAATTCTAACAGTCTAGATTCAGCAGTAGAAATGAGATATATGGAGTGATCCGAAGTGACTCAGTTTTGGGGGGCCATTTATATAACTCAAGTCTCCCAACCCAGATGTACCATCATCACACCCCTGCTTCTGGAAAATTTTGTAGTCACTGCATGACTCACAGGCAAATGATGGTAGCAGATTATTTGCCCCTGAGCCAGCATGTCCCAGCCAAGATAGGATGTATCAACAGGGCACACTGCAGCAGGGCCCAGGCCATAGTTACTATCCTACTCAACTGAAATGTTCAGAATGTAGACCCTGCAACCACTATACTGCTGAGACAACTTCCTTAATGAAACCTTTTCAGAACCTCAAAATTGAAACCTTCTGAACTGCGTCCAAAATGAACTAATCTGGGAACAGAACTATCCTTGTGGCAGTTTGTGTTTCGGTGAGATCAAAGAAATTTGCAGAAATCACTGCAGAACCAGATACTCTCTGTGGAGGGAAAGGAACTAACCAGAGCCTATTTATAAGGTATGCTGCGTATTGGGTCTGTTTATTGCAATATAGGCTTTGCAATACATCCATTAGTGTTTGATTATAAGTAACAGATTCTAAGAATATAATTATAGTAAAAATAAATCACAGGGTGAATATCTTCTAATGGAATCAAAGTAGAATTGGAAAGCCAGTGCAGTGAGACAAAGTTAAGAGGAGCAGCTCTGGGCATCTTTGCAACAGAAGTTCAAAAACCTGCAGAGCCCCAACAAAGTCATCTGTGTGGTCTCCCAGGCTCTGTTTCTATATCAATCACCAAGGGTGAGAAATGTGTTATTTCCCTTAGGCTGAGTGTATACCCCTAGACAGAGCAGGCAAGCTCTGAGGGCTGCTGCTTTAAATAGCCCTTTAGAAAGGAGAATTAGTTTTGAGCATGACATTAAAACAAATGGTTTTTATGCAAGTGGGGACCAAAAGCTCAGTCAGAAAAGAGGCTTCCTGGGCAAGCTTGAGGATCTGAGTTTGATCTGAGAATTAAACAAGAAAAAGCTGACAGCCTGGTCTACAAGAGCTAGCTCCAGGACAGGCTCCAAAACCACAGAGAAACCCTGTCTCAAAAAAACCAAAAAAAAAAAAAAAAAAAAAAAAAANCCAAAACCACAGAGAAACCCTGTCTCAAAAAAACCAAAAAAAAAAAAAAAAAAAAAAAAAGAAAAGAAAAAGCTGAATGTCATAGTGTATGCCTCTAATCCCAGCACTGGGGATACAGAAGCAGGTGAACCCTGGAGCTTGCTGACCTAACCTAATTGGCAAGCTCTGGTTCCCAATGAGAGACAGTGTCTCCAAACACAAGTTGGGATGAGGAATGATAGATATTCCAAGACTGACCTCTGGCTTACACACAATGCACCCATACATATGTAAGCACACATACATATTAGTAACTGTGATTGAATAATAACTGGGGCTTATATAGAGAACCTCATGTTTATATATGCATATAAATGAATGTCCTGTTCCCATCATAATTTTGCCCTGCCCACCTCCTACTCTACTTTCATGCAATTTATAACTTAAGTTTCCACAGATGCAGTCTTGCTTCAAATTTAGAGATCTTTGTCCTCAGACTTTTAGCATATAGAGCCATTTATGCCATCATGTAAGTACTATCTGGGCAGTGTGTGGTGGCTGTATTTCTATGTAGCTGGCACGTGATGGGTGGATGTACAGTGACCACTGACTAAGTAACAATATCTCGTGTCTTAGGGTCTCTTTTGCTATGAAGAGATACTATGACCACAGCAACTTTTATAAGTGAAAACGTTTTATTGGGTGGCTTATAGTTTCAGAGGTTTAGTCCATTATCATGGCAGGATATGGATGCATGCAGGCAGACATGGTGCTGAAGAAGGAGCTGAGAGTTAATATATCTTCATCTGCAGGTAACAGAAAGTGAACTGAGACACTGGGCATATCTTGGGCACAGCAGACCTCAAACCCTGCTTCAGCAGTGACACCCTTCTTCCAACATGGCCACACCCACTCCAACCAAGCTACACTTCCTAATAGTGCCACTCTCTTATTGGGGTCAATTACATTCAAGCTACTCTATCCCCCAACATTTTTATGGCCTAGAGTCCCAGGGACCCAAGAATATTCTTTAGACTTAGATTCTTATTTCACATCTAAAGTAGATAAGTAGGTCCATACTTTTTTTAGGCTCAACTGTGTATATAATGTAGGTTTAATACAAAAGCCTGATTCTGGGTATCTGGCCACAGAGGAAGGAACTGTAGATATTTGACAACATTGTTCAAACAAACAAGGGGGAGAAGAATGCAGGCCAAGACAGATTGACTGACACCCATGACTCTCAGACTTGCTGAGTATAGTTTACAGACATCTGTCTTCTGTCATCCTTTATAAACCTCTGTAGTAGTGATGTGGGGTGTATCACTGTAATTATAAGGACTTAATATAGTGATATTCAAGGGATTCCAAGATGAACTTACAGGCTACTTCTTGGACACCTCTTATCTATTCACCAAAGTCTCATAAGACTAAAACGATGGTCTCAGAAATCTGTCCTTATCGGTCCTGGTCCATAGTCTTCATCACCATTAATTGTTATAAAGTCGTGACTATATGCTTCTCAGCCTGTGGCCCTGTTCTGCTCTGCCTTGGACCAGGTTAAGCCAGTGACTAAAACAGCATGTGACTTCTCTTTGAACATCATCTCTAGTCCAGGCTTTAAGTTCAGACTCCAAGTTTTGTTAAGTGAAGTGGCTTCACATGGCTATGAAAGCTGCTTCTCCCAGGATTTTTCAAGATGCCTTCCAGTGTCTGCCATTCCCTCAAGCCTTTCAACTGTTTTTTCTATTGTAGAAATAGACGCAGAAGGTCCATGAGTGCATCAAGATCCTAAGTCAGTGGTGTGACTATATACAAAATGAAGTACTAAGGTCATAGCCAAAAGTAGATCAGGCCACAGAATAATGACAAGACTGCAGATGATACTTTCTATTTATCGCTGCATACTTGCATCCTGCCATGTGTACTACTTGGTGTGATATTACCTCATCTACGGCAGTCAGGCATTATTGTCACAGTTCTGGGCAGGAGAAACGTGAGGTAGTTCAGGAAGTCTGTCAGAAACTGAGCTCAGTTATTTGACCAGGACAAGACTCAAAGTAACATTGCCAGAATTCAAATGCAGTTTGTGTTTCTTAAAAGTATCATGCTATACTGCTATCTCTGAGCCTTTCTCCTTTTCCAAGAGATAGTGTTGGAACTGGTAGCCAACAGTCCAACTCAGGGGCAGGAGCCAGGTTCTGAGGAGCAGAAGACTGGGTAGGAGTCAATGAAGTTGGAGAACTCTTCCACGTAATCCATCAGCCTTCTAACTTACCTTGACTGGTGCTGGCCATATACTTTACAGGTTCAGGATCAGGGTCATCCCAGAGTTGAGGGGTCATGGGTGGTCTTTCCACTCATTGGCTTTGTATCCCTGGTCTTCTATGACTTGCAGTGTTGTAGAAGAGGTAGAAATAGGTCCTTTGAGATTTCCCCCTTCTATTCCTGGCTGTGATAGTAGTGCACACTGCAATTTTGTGGGCAGTAAACCCAGCCTCTACCGTTTAGCGTGCTCTCGGTTAGCAATGATAATCTGTCAGTTCCTCTCTGTGCTCTGTATGAGGCATTTGAACAGTTGCTTAACCTTCCTGGACTGACCATCAGCTTATCTTCACAAGGAAGAGGCTTGACCTAACATCAAAGGCACCTTATATCTCTCTTTGCATCTCTTTCAGGAAGTCTGTCATCCAGCTTGACCTTGCCAACACAAAGAAAGCAATGATTGTCCCTGCATTCGAGACACTGCGATACAGACTCTCTTTCCCCAAGTCAAAAGCAGAGCTTCTGTCAATGTTGGACATGGGGACCCTATTTACATTCAGGTGAGTGACCCTCACAGCACACATCTGCAGTTCCCAAAGCATCTCTCTCCCAGTACACCCAGCTGTCAAAGATGTTGGCAAAGAGGTCAATATGTTGCATTAGTCCACTATAAAACCAAAGAGACATACTAATCCCAGTATCCTTGGGACTCTGCTATTTCTCCCTGACATATTATTGCTTTATACATGGATGGTAGGGACTGCATCCAGATGGAAAGAGGCTTGCTGGGGCGAGAAGCCACACATTTATGTTCATACTTTAAAAGGCATGAAAAAATCCATTTAGCACCTTTCCCTTAGCTCAGAATTCTCCCTTTGGAGTGCATGGTAATGTTCTCTAGAAGAACTAAATTGATAGGATGAATAAATAT